TACATTTTGCCGCCCGCCATGACCCTCAAGCTCAATTGGCCGTCCTTGGGGCTTGCGTCTAAGATTGGACTCTCCGTTTTGATCACCCTGGGCATCGCACTCGGTAAGCTTTAATTGCCTCTTCTCCCGTGTTCCCGCCCATCTGCCGTCAAAGCAGAGCTCTGCCATCCCCCATCCTTGTGTAACGTCTTGTTTTTTGTTCTACTCCGGTGTAGGCGTGTGTGCAACTCTTTTCACAGTGCTGGACTATGTCCAATCATCATCATAAGTGCCTGAAAAAGCAACATGACGATTGTTTTTTTTTTTTTTTTTTTTTCTCTCTCTCTCAGAACGTCGTTGTTTCAACTTGGTTTTAGGTTGTTGTGTTTTTTTTCTGTTGCCTTCCACTGCTAGCCCCGATCTGAGTCGACCCCACTGCCTAGTTTTCCGTTGTGTCCTCTTCTGGTTTTGTCTTTGTTGGTGCTCCTTCCCGTTTCGTCTGGCAAGTTTTTCTCGATTCTGTCATGTATGCGTGCTGCGTCTGATGTGTTCTTGTGGTGTGACACCCGCGTTTAATCGCCCACCCTGTTCTTCATCTGCTGGAGTGAGATTTGTTTTCTTGGCATAAATTGTTTTTAATCCGTGGTTTGCCAGCTTGTGTTCAAGTGCACGGGTGCTGCTCCGTTGCAGTTTTTTTTTTTTTAAAGAAATCAGTCAGGTAAGATGAATTGAAGAATCCAATGATTGACAACAACAAAACAACACGATAAAATAAGCCACAAGTCACACCGAGCAAGCGCACAGCGCTCGACCATGGACGATGGTATGAAAAGACCAATTGGGATCAGGACGCACGAGCTCACAATACTGTATCTAGCTTGAGGGTGTCGGGTGTGCGAACGTCCATGTAGCGGATATGGCCGAGCAAAGCCTGGGCCGCTTCCTGAGCCATGAAAGCTTCAGCAGCCAGGCCCTGCAGGCCGCGTTCTGTGGCATTGTTGCGGGCATTGGCAACGGCCAAGGTGGCTTCGTGCTCCTGAAGTGCAGAAAGCTTGTGGGCCTCGGAGAGCTCAAAGGCAAGATCAGCAATGAAAGAGGCTTCGATACGGGTGGTCTCCGACTCGATTTCTGAAACATTGCGGCGCGTTTCCTGCTCAATGAGAGCAATGTCGTTGTCATAGGCTAGGCGAAGATTCTCCGTTTCTTGCTTGTAGATGCTAACATTGGTGGCCAGGCTCACGGTGACCTCTTCAACCAAACGACGGGTTTCTTCCAAGGCGACGGTGGTGTTGAGGTCAAACTCCTCCAACAGTAACTCCGTCTCCTTGGTGAATAGGGAAATATTTCGCGCTGATTCCTCATTAATCTGGGTCAGGAGCTGCAGGGTCTGCTCAAGAATCGCATCGCGTTGCTGGTTGACCTGAACCACCAAGATTCGTGTTGTTTGCTCAATCTCGGTCTTGAGTTTGCGACGAGCCGTTTGCAGCGCCAGGATCTCGGCAGCCGAATCGGCACGGATGCGCTCCAATTCAAGGCGTGCGGTTCCAGCGCGTGCCTCTTGATTGCGCATCTGAATCTGAATCAGGCGATTATCGAGCTCGGCGGGCAAGATCACGGATCGCACCTGGTGGGGCAGAGCATTCGTACTCGGTGAGCGGTGGCGCATAGCGACGGCGGGCGCCGAAAAAATGGGTCTGTCCTACCTGAAAGCCGGTTACAGTAGCACCTCGCACGCGCGCTTCCTCGGTGATGGCGGAGCGCAGCTCGGCCTCAATGGTGGTGCGATTCTCGAAAAAGGTTTGGCTTGCATAGCCGGCGGCTACATCACGTAAGGTCGAAAAGATGACTTGGGACAGTGTGCCTTCGAAGCCAGCTACAGTCACAGGCAGGTTCGGGTGAGATCAGATGTACTTTGCAACGCATGACTGGTCGCTTGGTGGACGTCCGAAAGACAAGATTAGCCAAGATGGGCAGGTTCACTTGTGGCCTCGGAATTCTCGATCTGGTCATACCTTTGTGAATGCGGTAAACCTCGACAAGGTCTTTCTTGTTCATCGAGTATTGCCAGCTTATGTCGAGCGAGATGACCTGGCCGTCTTGCACCCGGGTGGAGATCGGGTTGCCGTTCTCATGGGTGTACTCAACTGAGACATCAAACCGAGGGTATTTTTGAATCCGGAATCCCGCCGCGCGGAAAATGCGGCCGGGTCCAACGGGCTTCCTTTCGATGTGACCTCGGTAGTCCACAACGACGGCATTGTACTCAAAGGGCACTACCTCGGAGCAGCTATTGATTGAATAAGCACATGCTGGGTGAGGCAAATACTGTCAAGGGACCTTGAAGCGATGCTCATCCCCACAAACGTACGCATCAAGAAGGATGGGAAGGCCAATAAGGAGAAAGGCCAAGATCAGAACGCAAGACACGATGAAGACGCGCTTGACCTTGGGCTCGACATTTGAAAAGTCCCAGTGGTTCCAATCAGAGTATTCGGTCGCGATCGAGGGTTGAAAGACACTTTCAAGCTCGATATCGGTGCCTTTGCCGTAGTCCACGTTTAACGTTGACATTTTGACCGTCTCCTTCTTCTCGGTTGTTGCCATCGTGGCCGTTGGCAAGTGGTGAAGAAGCACTGATGGATGGGTATTGACACAGGAGGAACGGGCGCGCTTTCGCTCTGAACCTTTCTGCTCGACTGCGCAGGAAGAAAATGCACCGACCACAAGCACTGCACCGACAGCAAGCGGGGCCATTTGCCACCCGATACAGCATATTCCAACAGGGGGCGGGGTTCGAAACAAGATGCATCACCGCACAGCACAGACTCCTCCCACCCAACCCAAACCATTCCATCCCGATGAATCAACGCGACATGCTCGTAAGAGCCACCATTGACACATGAACGTTTTGCACCGGAGAAGAAGAAGAAGAAGATGCTTGAAAGAAGAACGAGCAAGCTGCTGGATATGCACTGGACAACAGCAATCGATGGGCACATGTAACTGAACAAAATGATGATGGTGTCAGGAAATTTTTTTTTTTCCTTGTGTGTGTGTGTGTGTGTGTGTGTGTGTGTGTGTGTGTGTGTGTGTGTGTGTGTGTGTGTGTGTGTGTGTGTGTGTGTGTGTGTGTAGGCGGGTAAGGACAAAAAGTGTCCAACCTTTGTGGAGCTCGTTTTGGTTTTGGGGGAGGGGGCGGGGCCAGCAGACATTGCTAAATTGCGCCGGGATCAGCATGCTTGCGACATGAGCATGTTCTCGAGAAGAGGTCATCCTGCCCGGGTCAGCAATTGTAACAACCTGCAGTCGGGGAACCAGCAGGGACGGGCGAGAAGCCTCGTGTGCCCATCAAACTGTGTTTGAAGGCCTGGGTCGTCGAACTTGCATTTTTTTACTTTCCCTCTCCTGGGCAAGATCAAGTAGACTGTACGCCCACAAGGACACAAATTGCGACAACATGTTTTGGACTGTGAAACGGACTTTGGTTGGCCTGGCCGCGGCCATCCTCTCTTTGTCCCTGATCATTGTCCTGGCGACCTCGTTTGCTCGGGTAGCCGATGACGAGATCTGTCAACTCTTCTATCCCGGTATGTCCGTCTGAGAGAGCAACACCCTGCGCCTTCCCGCCCCCTTCTTTGACTGAACTCGCCTCGTTTGCTCACCAACCCTTCTACCTTTCAGATGGTGGCAAGTTGGTGACTCAATCAGAACCGGCTTTGGTTTTCATCGGTCCCAGCTATGAGAAGTACTGCGTGCCTCGTCACACACTGCACCTACGTTTCGAGTCTGACTCGGATGAAGGGCTGGATCGTGTCATCCAGTCCCGTACCAAGGAGGGCTTGCCCGTGTCCCTCGCCGTTGACGTCGAGTACAAGTTTACTCCCGAGGGCTTGGAGACATCCATGCAACGCGTGGGCTTTGCTGATTACTCCCGCCGCCTGTACATGGCAGCGCGCGCCGAGGTGCGCAACGTGGCCTCGCTATTTGAAGTGCAGTCCTTCCTCCGTGGCACGCGCGAGGCCATTGCAGCTACCATGCGTGATAATATCGCCCAGACCATCGTCGAGCGAGACGGCGTCTTGATCGATGTGATTCGCGTCAATCTCCTAACCGTCAAGGTCCACGAAAGCTTTGAAAATAAGTTTCAAGAGGTAGAGGATATTCTTCTTGGTGCGTCACTGGTGCTCACTCGACTCTCTGCTCAACCCCATTGGCACTCCCTCCTCGCACGCTTTGCATCCCGCTCGTCTTGTTACGACAGCTCACCAGGCTCTCTTCCTGAATCCCCTCGGATCCATACGCGCAGAGCAAATTGAGGCCGAGGCAGATCACCGTCTTGCCGTTATTGAGGAGTCGCGACTCAACGAGACCGACGTCATCAATCTGCTGGCCCAGCGTGGCCGACAGAACCAAAGCGCGCACGCCGAAGTCATCGAAGCAACTCTGGAGCAACAAAGTAGCATGACCACGGCCCGGACCAAGGCTATTCGTGAACGCATTCAGGCCGAATCAGCCCGGGCCCAACAACTCATCCGCAAGCAGACCGCGCTGGAGGAAACGATCGCCGATCGCGACATTCAGGTGGCCAAGGCTGAGCGTCAAGTCGTGGCGACACTGCAGCTGGCCGAGACCGAACGCCTCAACATGGTGACCGAAATGGAGGGCCAAGTTCGTCGCGCCATGGCCAACCGCACCCGCGACATCTCCCAGGGACTGCTCAATCAGACGCGACGTCTCGAGGGACTGGCGGCTCTCCGCATTGATCACGACTTGAGCGTTTTCGAAATTCGCCTCAACTCCAACGTCAGCGCCCAGCAGACCCGCGATCGTGGTACTGCTGATGCTGAGGATGAGTTTGTACGCATGCGCACGTCTGCCGATGCTCATTTGGCTCTGCAAGCAGCCTTGAATATGAGCGATGCTCAATTGGCCTCGCTCCTCTGGCATCGTGGCATCAGTGCCAGCACCACCAACAAGACCGTCTTCCTCGATTACGACAAGGTGGCACTGCTCAATGAGTTTGGTCCGCACAATACCCAGACCGTGGCCAGCGTTACGCCTTAGCCAACGAAGTAACGCCGTTTCTTCATCAGGCAAAGCCTATTTTCGCCGAGCTGGACTCGGTAAGCTTTGATCTGCACTGCGTGCTACACAAACATGTTAATCCCCTCCTTATTTGTTTTTGTCATGTGATCGGACTGGAATGCCGTTGTCATACATCCCGGGGGGAAACCTTGACTTCTTCCCGCCCTGGTACGGTCAAACTTTATGGTTTATTATGATCACTCTCAATTCATTCAAAAGAATACCAATAAAAAATACTATAGATGCGTTTCAGTCGAGCCGCTCAACAGGCTTCATTGACAAAGCGCGTCCACCGCTGCCGATACAACGCGTCATGTTGCCATGGCTTGCGTCGCCCGCTCCAATGTAGCACGTACGCACCATCCAAAGCCTCAGTTGACACGTCCGTTCGGTATCCCAAGCCATCGAGATTGAAACGTACGTCCAAAGGCTGCCAGTGCCCCGCACACACCAGCAAAAGGATGGGCTGCGTCCCGTAGTCCCACAGGGCATGTTCGTGATGCTTGGTCATGTAGTACAGAACCTCGTCACGCAGGCTCCGTTGCCGCCAAGCACGTAGGTTCCAGACGGCCACTCCAGCATTGAAGGAGGGTGCCGCCAGCTGGAGGAGCTGACCGGGGTCGGGATGTAACTCGGCATGCAGTCGTACAATATCAGCCCCAAAAAAGTGGCTTAGGGGCACGTTGGGTCGCGGCACAGCCGCCAAATAATCGTCATCTCCCAAGTCCATGTGGGCGAGCAAGGCCACCAAGTCTCCCTGGACAACCGTGTCGATGTCAATGTACAGCACGCGATTCAGCTCGGGCAAGAGTTCTGGCAGCATGAAACGGCCAAAATTGGCACTCGAGGCCAAAGCTCCTGTAACAGCTTCAGCGGTGCGCACGCGAATAAGATCTTGAAGCCGCGCGTCCAGCTGAAAACGCTGCAGCCCGATAACATGCGCTGCGGGTCGCTCAGCGGATTGTAAATTGTAGCAGCGTAAAGCATCAATCACGGCCTGGTACGTCTTGGCCGTATCCACAAATATCCACACGCGTAACAACTGCGGCCAACGGGTGCTGCCCAACATGGATCTATTGCCCGATCATCAGAGCCAGTAGGTCAGATCGCAATCCAAAGTTTCATCTAAGTGAGGTGCCACCCCCGGTTGTAACTCACCTAATGAGCGGTGCAATACCCGGGACTTGCTGATCATCCACCAAAAGGGCCACGTTGAGCTCCGACAGCGCTGGTGCTGCCTGGCAAATCTATTCGCAACAACAGGCCAAGGTGGTAAAGCATGACAACTGCTTCCTTGGGTTTCACTTTATGTTCCTTTCACACCTGCACCTCGAGCGCCAACCTGATAGGGCAGTTTGTTGCCTTTGTGTGGATCTACCCAAACAAGGTCGGCACCTGGATCGTCGCAAGTACAAGCCCACCGGCCTGGGCCTTGCTGCTGGCACGAGGCCTGCAATGGACAGCCCTGCGTCGGTAGCAGAACATGCATTTTTGCCGATGAGTGCCATTTTTAGCAAAAGGAACGATCGTCGTCGCCTTCATCATTCGCCATGTTCAAACTGAGAGCGGTCAGCCAGGCTGTCAAGCCTGGCAATTCCGGTTCTTGTCCTGCCTACCTGCCCTTGATATCGGCAATAGTCAAAGTCGCGTACAAACATGCCCTGGTCCTCTTCATTGGTGAAGCGCACCCACGTGCCCGGGTCGGCGACGGCCTTTTTTAACACGCCTGGCACAGCCAAACAAATGTATGGATGGCATGCACGAGAGGGGGTCAATAGGGCCAGTCGGCCTGAAAGCCCAGCGTTTTATTGCAAAGCACACGCACCATTTGTGTTGAAAGCCAAGCAACGAGGGCTGCTTTGACAGACATGTCGGAGCCGAGCAGAGAACGCCTCCAAAGACTCTTGCTATTGGCAGGTATCGAGTCCACGCACGGTGAGGTCGGAGGCTAGAGCACATGGACTGAAGCAGCAAGACTGACCTTGTCGCGAAGTAGCAACGCGAGATCGCCACCGTCTGAATCCAGATGCGGAATGAAAACAAATTTTGAGGTCGTTGGCGCAAACCTTTCATCCCAAAAGTTGCTCGCCGGCTGTTCTGACACGCCATACACTGGCAGGCAGGATTGTCCATTGCCCACAAACCTAGAAAGACACAACGACGCTGAGTATAAAGATTGGGGAAGCATGCCTTTCTGGTGACACTTGTGAGGAAGAAGCGCGATTTCAGCGCGGAACATCAGACGCACCCGGCTTGGCATTCACACGAGTAACTGCCAACGGGCTGAGGGATGCAGCGGGCATTGTGTGCGCAGGTGTGTACGCCCCGACCACACAAATCCAGATTGTCTATTCGCACGAAATGAATCATTGTACGTTTGAAAGTCTTGGTGAATGCAAGCCTTCTCTAGCTCACCCCTGGGTCGCGGGGAGCGGGGGTTTGGCAACCCATTTTGCTTCCATGATGCAAAGCATTCAACCTCTTTCGGCTTGCTCTCTTTATGTTCTTAGTTGTGATGATCAGAGTCAGCTGATCAAAAAAACGGGTGACGTACCGGCGACATAGAGGGCCGCGCCAGGCTGTCGGTTGAGCTGGTACATGGGAGGTACCCAGGACTTGAGCCAACCATCATCAGAAAAGGCCACACAAAGCTTGTGCTGCTCAGTTGGCGATATGAGACAATTGAGTTACAACAACTGGACCACGCAAAAATGAGTACATGCAAGCGTGGCCCGGGTCCGGGAACGACCCCTAACCTGATGACAGGCTGAGCGAACTGCAGTGTGACTCTGCGTGGGCCATCTGGGGTCCATCATAGAGTAAAGGGCACACCTTTTGTGAGGGACGGCCATGGCGCGTTCATCTACTTGAGAGCCTGATGCTAGGCTGCAATGGTTTTGCACGGGAGCTCACCGCATCAAGTTGCCAACGTCAGTCGCAACGCCTGGAAGATAGCGAAACCGCTTGGCAGGCGCAGTTTGGTAGTTGGGATTCAAACCCGAGTCAAGATGGACACGCTCAAGCGCTGTCAGCTGTTGCGACACGCGCTGGCGAAGGAGAGCCGCATCTGCACGACGGCAGTCTGCATCTGGTGCTAGCTGTGGGGGAGGGCGCGTCAAGCTTGATGGTCGGGACGGGGGCCGCTGCATGGCGAGCTCTAAGCGAGCCACGGTTTCGCGAGTGCATCCTTGATGGTGTAGAAGCTGGCAGCCCTTGACTGTTCGTTGAGCCTGGACCTGACAGCGTGTCCCTACGACGAGCAGCATGGCGAGCAGATCAGGACAGGGACGAGCCAGCGTGCGCACAAGCGCTAAAGGGGAGCATCAGTCAAGTGGATGGACGCAGAACAGCTTCCTTGCACACGAACCCATTGTTTCTGTCGCAAGCAAATTTGCCACGGTCAAGAGCAGCTGCCCGGTATCAGATGCAATGGATGCACTCCATCTGGAAGTGGCGGGCCCGAGATCAGCCCAGCAAAAGGACTGCACCTCGTGAATGGGTGTGGGCCGTCTCTGCACCTGATGAAGGAGACCGCTAGGCCATGAGCCTTGGCAACAGGCACATCATGCTTGCACAATGAGCGGGAAGGAACTTACGTGGGTTGCATGCACCGCGGCGCTGCGGAGCAAAGTCACCTCGGACACGGTTTGTGGCCAGTGCCTGCGCGGCGACGGCACGAGTGGGGGGTTATGTGGGGCTACTGGCGTGACGGGTTTACAGTGCTGTTGATGGAAGCAGGGCCACGCACATACCGAGCAGCAAGGTCAGAGACGAGATAGGTCCAGGGAGTGATTGAATGCTTGAGATGCGCTGCCACCTTGAAGCGACAGGCATCAAAAGACGCTGCATAGGCTGGCTGTCGGAGCCAAACGACATGGTCCACGCTACCGGCAGCGGTGGATACACCGCAAGCCAAATATGGAGGGCCCAGGATAGAGCAGTTGCTCATGAGCACGCACCGCTCCGGAGGTTGAGCATAGCAGGGAGAAGGATCTCTAGGCATACGTACCGGCGCTCCAATTCACGCAGGCGACTTTGAAGTTTTGAGAGGCACTGCACGTTCAGCAATGGCGACAGCAACCGTAACGATATGAGTGGGTTGCGGTCGAATGTGCGGGGATGATGCCGTGTGAGAGAGAAGAAAAGTTTCAGAGGGCAGTGGCGGAACTCGGGTCAGACAAGCACGAAAACGCACGAATCATCGAGCAGCGGAACAGTGTACTTACCCCGCAAAGAAGCTCGAGTGTGTGGAACTCAATGTGGAAGTCTCCTTGTGGTTGAGAAAGGTGGCCATCTGAAATTTTAGTATCTGTATGAGAACGAATGTACGGAACGTTGCAGAGGAGGGTGCTCGCCAGCCTGACCTGCCAGGAGGGCAATCTTGGTGGAGCTGCTCGTGTTAAGCAAGCGCTCAGACAGATCGCGCTGTTGCTCTGCGTCTGCAATCTCCTCCAGCTGCTGCCGCCCCTCCCCAAGCCCCATCCCAGGCCCAGCACCCAGGCCATGCAACAGAAACAGGCCGAGCAGGCCCAATGCCAAGCCGCTCAGCACCGCACCGTACCGGCCCGCCAGCCGCATCGCGCTCCTCATCCGCGCATCAAAAACTGCGGACAGGCCACTTCTACGATCTTGTGACAACCATCACACTTTAATACTTATTTTGCTGACAATATACAACAGTCGAATAACTGTGATTGAAAACAGGTGTTGTTCCCCGTTGGCTGCCCACATGGTGATCCGCGTGGTGTGTGTGTGTGTGTGTGTGTGTGTGTGTGTGTGTGTGTGTGCGCGCTTGGCATTGGTGTTCTTCATTTTTCCACTGGTTGTGGTGGCGGGTTGGACTTTTTTCCCGCTCCCGCTTCCCTCGACTTGTCGAGTGGCGAGTGTGGGGAGGTGCTTTGGTGTCACCGCGCGCCATGTCCTCGGCCAAGGGCTCTGCCGTGGCTAGCAAGAGCAAGACGTTGACGTTTGAGGGGACATCCTCGTTCCGTCAACGCATCGTCTTTTCGGTGCTCTCCGGACGGCCTGTTCGTTTCGTCAAAATTCGCCCTGACGCCGATAGCCCTGGTTTGACCGGTAAGAATGGCTTATTTGGCACAATGGTGGGGGCATGGTCAACCCCAAAGATATTAGCTTGTCATGAGCTTTTCATGAGCTTCAGTCTCACGTCGTTTATCCGTGGGTTTTAGATTATGAAGTGACCTTTTTGAGGCTGATTGATACCATCACCAATGGCACCCACATTTCCATTAACGAGACTGGTGTGTTTATCGGCCCTGCCTTTTGACGTGTCGTTGATATTGTCCGCACCCATTTTGACTGTTTTTTTTTCACTCACTCGTGTCATGCCGACGAATGCAGGTACGGCGGCTTACCTTCGGCCCGGCACAATCACCAATGGCCGTAAGCTGCAGTTTGACTGTGGATCCAGCCGTGCCATCGGCTACTACCTCGAGTTTCTGCTCTGCCTGGCGCCCTTTGGCAAGGCTCCCCTCCACATTTTCTTGTCTGGCATTACCAACGACAATCAAGATCCAAGCGTGGACATCATCCGTACCGTCGGTCTACCAGTGCTCAAACGCTTTGGCGTGGAGGATGGTCTTGAGCTCAAGGTCATCCGACGCGGTCTGCGCCCCAATGGAGGCGGTGAAATCATGTTTCAATGTCCGCATGTGCGACAAGTAAGTTTTTTTTTATTGTTTTTCAATGTGTTCCCAGCTCTACTGTAACATTTGTGAGCTCAACTGACAAACCAACCTTTGGTTCTCGCCGCAGATTAAACCAGTGCGCTGTGTTGAGCTGGGCAAGATCAAGCGCATTCGTGGTCTTGTCTACACTACTCGCGTGGCTCCCTCAACTGGCCATCGGTGAGCATCGTGTTTGGCGCCTGTCTGTGCTTTGATTTGTGTTTTTGTGTTTTTCTGGTTGTTGTTGTTGTTGTTGTTGTTGTTGTTGTTGTTGTTGTTGTTGTTGCACACCTCTGTTTCTGGATGTGCATGAAAGCGTGTTATTCCAACTCCGGGGCGCTAGCTTTATGGCAATGGCGCGGTCGGTTCCTGAGACTCGCGAGATTAAACACCACGGCTGTTGTTTGAGGCGCAACCTGGGCTTTCCCATGCTCATTGCGTTATAGGTGTTCCGCCGATATTAATTTTTTCTTCTTCTTGTGGCACTTGCTGTAATGAGCTTGCTTCGGCTGTCACTCACTTTCAACGTGATTGCGTGCCTTGCCTGCAGTGTCGTCGATGCTTGCCGTGGCGTTTTGAACAAGTTCATCCCCGATGTTTACCTGTACACTGATCATTATTCCGGTGCCGAGGCTGGCAAGTCCCCTGGCTATGGCATTTCTCTTGTTGCGGAAACGTCGGACAAGTGCAACCTGTCAATGGAGTTGGCCGCGGACAAGGGCCAACTCCCCGAAGATCTCGGCACCCAGGCAGCTCATCTGCTATTTGAGGAGATTGCCCGCGGCGGGTGCTTTGACACCTTTTCTCAGACCATTGTCTTTACGCTGATGGCGCTGGGTCCAGAAGACGTGTCCAAGGTCAGAGTGGGCAAACTCTCGCCTTTCTCCATTCAACTGCTGCGGGATCTTCGATCCTTTTTCCAGCTGACTTTCAAGCTCAAGCCCGAGGCGGCAACAAAGACGCTCCTCGTCAGCGGCATGGGTGTTGGTTACACCAACATCCACAAAAAGCTGCAGTAAAACACAAAAAAAAAAGAGTGCGGGGTGCTGTGCGCCCGTTCCGACCGTGCGACAAAAAGTCGCCTTTTGCGTTTCTCCCCTCTTTTTGCGTGGGTTTTGAATCGTGTATCATATTCCTCCGACATTCTCTGAGAGACTTGTGCGGCGATTTGGGTTTCATCTGCGATGACCTAGTCGTTTCTTTCTTTTTTTTTTTTTTTTTTTTTTTTCCTTTGCATGCAAAAGAAACAAAGCTGAGCTTTGGAATTTGGTGTTTGTTGCTGCACCAAATAAAATCGATTTACAACTGCATGCCTTCCCACATTCGATTCGGTCTTTTTCCCAAGCGATTCGATCTGCTAGTCCATCTCGGACCAATGGCACAGCACGAAGCTGGCGCCGACGATGCACCAAACCAAGGAACCACGCACTGTTGTTGTGCATGTGACGTCAAAAGACGTGGCAATGGTTACCACGTGTCATGGCTCCGTCGACCTTTTTATAATGTGACACATATCACACTTTTACCAACCCTTCTACATCCTTCCACGCAGCAACAACAACACACACGTCAACGACGGTTCAGCAGTGGGCGACGTTCATCATTTTTTTTTCTTCCTTGTGTTTGTCAGTGAACTTTTATTGGCTACCGCTATCATGCCTGTTTCCGCTGAACGTCGCGCTGAGCTGCGCCAGGCTCTGACCAAGCTGTACGACGAGGTGCCCTGCAACCCCATCATGGTACGAATGAATTTCGCGCATCCGCTTGGCCTTGGCCTTTGCCTGCAAGATGTCAGGCAGCCACTCATCACTGCTCCTGGTCTTTTGGGATGTCAATGCACGTAGGTGCGTCTGGGCTGGCACGACGCTGGCACCTACGACGCCGAGTCCAAGACTGGTGGCGCCAACGCTAGCATCCGCTTCGACCCCGAGGTCACGCACGGCGCCAACGCTGGTCTGAAGTGGGCCATTGAAAAGCTGCAGCCCATCAAGGACCAGTTCCCCGACATCTCCTACGCGGACCTTTACCAGTATGCTTCCATCACGGCCATTGCCCATGCTGGTGGCCCCAAGATTCCCTTCCGTTTCGGCCGCCCCGATGCCAAGGACGAGGACTGCACTCCCGACGGCCGTCTCCCCGACGCCAACAAGGGCGCCAGCCACCTTCGTGGTGATGTTTTCCACCGCATGGGCCTGACGGACAAGGACATTGTGGCGCTCTCTGGTGCCCATGCCTTGGGCCGTGGTCATAAGGACCGCTCTGGCTTTGAGGGCCCCTGGACCTCGGAGCCCCTCAAGTTTGACAACGAGTACTTCTCCAACGTCCTCGCTCCCAAGGACGACCTGCTCTGCCTCCCCTCGGACAAGGCCCTTGCTTCGGACCCCGAGTTCCGTCCCTTTGTCGAGAAGTACGCCACGGACAAGGATGCCTTCTTTGCCGACTACGCCGTCTCACACCAGAAGCTCAGCGAGCTCGGTGTCAAGTGGACCGACAGCGCCGATGCCGAGGCCACCACCGACTAAACCCTTGCTTGTTCTCTGCCTTCCTTCGTTGCGAAGGTGCCCAGGCTCTTGTGTCATTGATTAGCGTGAACCGCGTTTTCACAATGTCCTTTCCCCTGATTTTGTTAGTCTTTTATGCTCCTGGCTACTGAATCTTCTTGACTGGCGCGCTGCCGGCGTAATAATTGATGCCTTCTCGACACGTTTTTGCTTGCTTGCATTCACTCGCTGTCTTTTCTCACGGCCCGTGTGCGCTCGCAACCGCGGGTCACCCTGTAACAAGGATGCCACCATGCCCTACGCTCTGCCACAAAGGCAAACTAAAACCCAAGCTTTTCAGCTGTTGATGATAAAATTTTCTGCTACAAACTGCTATACACGTCCTTAATGAAACCGAAAAGGACAGAACGCAAGGCTCTACACATTATGGTCCAAGACCACAGGGTCAATCACAAACAAAGGGGAAGAAGGCATACTGCAATCTACTGCTGGTTCAACAAGCTGGCTGGGCAAACGTACGGGAAGCACTCAGCAGGTGAAGACAGACACGGCAATCCCAGTGAGCTGAAGCAGGAAGTGGTGAGTCGCATCATTGACAGTGGGCTGAAACGGGCACAGGGCTGGAAAAGACTGCTGAGCCACAAAGTCCAACTACAAGCAAAAGTCCATGGTTCAGATGAGCGAGGGGGCAGCGCGCCCACTGGCAGCGGGCTCACACTTGGACCCGCGACCATGTTCCTGCAACTTACCACGCGAGTCGATGGTTTGTTGCAGTATTGATCGACATCCTGTCGCCCAAAGCAAAGGCCACCCAGTGAATGTGCGTTGCGGGCGCGCATCCTGTGTGGCCCAAGCTGTCTGGGTCTGGCGTAAAACATACCTTCCAGGCTTGCAAGTGAACAGCTGTGATGAGAATGGAAGCCACAATCTGTTGCTGCCGCGCCGATTCAAAGTGCCGCTGAGCCTGCAGAAAACACATGCGATCATCGTCAGGCTTCTTTTCGGTGCAAGGGCTTGAAAAAAGAAAACACTGAATCTCAGCTGGTCAGCTGCTGGATCAGCAACTGACCAGAAGTGGCACCATGTGCATGGTGGCTGAATCTAGTTGGTCAAATGGCTTGATGCGTCCATACTCGACCCAAACGCTGAGGTGGCGGAGTAGGTCGCATAGCAGCTGCCGAGATCTACAGCAGTTTGCAGACACACGCAAGCGTGACATTTTGCTATCGCACCGGCCGTGCGTGCGCACGCATCAAGCGGCCGACCATGGCTCAACGAGGTCACCTACGGCGAGTCCAGAATCGCCAATGCCTCCATAACCAAGAGTTGTTTGTCCCCCTGGTCCAGATGAAGGCCGATATGGTACCACACGTCCAACACGCCGTCGGGCAGGATGGCACGTGGAAACCGACTTAGCGCCATGCTGACACACGAAAGCGCATCTGCCATCCCATTGATGACGCACAACTTTGTTCTACAATTGGGCCAAGCATGTCAACGGTTCGAATACAAGTGAATGAGTCGAACATCGTGCAGCAACCTTGCTAACCCTTTGATCTTTGCTCTGATCGACTTGGCTGACGAACGTGGAGGCAGCCAAGGAAATGCTAGCAGTCGGGTATGCTCCTGTCATGAAATCGGAGATATGGCGCATCAGCCGAGGCACCCAAGTGTGGATCTGTTCCACTCCTGGGCCAGCGAGTGCTTGACCTGTTGTAGGTGGCGACAACGTGCCAAAATGCAAGGTCAATGGGCTCGGAGAAAGGATGGATGTAGAGTCAACCAATGTGCTACTCGGCAAACGAACCAAAGGAGGTATTGCGCAGTGACCGGGCACGAAGCCCCGAGCATTGGAGCTGACGGCCCACGGCTTGAATCTCCTCCAAGCTGACGCTGGTCTCGTGCATGATGGCTTGCAGTGCACGATCCTTGGTAATGTAGTTATAAAGCTGCTCGAACGATAAGCCACCATGAACAAGAGGATGATCAAGGAGGGCCAGAAACAAGCACGCCCTCAAAGTCATACCTGTAACTTGCGCTTGTTGCGAGCCGCTTGGTCGTCCATCTTCTGACTGGTGCCTGTGTTGAATGCACAATATGTTGTGAGGCATGAGTTGAGAAACTGCCAAAGCGAGGAGCTGCAAGCAAGGCAGCTGGGAAGACTCTGAGGAGGCACGGCGAGAGCTTGTACCTGCGCCAAGTGCACACGCGACGGGCTCGGGAATGAGTTGAGCTGGTGGTGGACGCACGGCTCGCGGAGCCAACGAGGCACGGTTGGCAAGAGTGCGAGTGCGACGGCGACGCTGGGTGGCCTCTGAATGGCGTCGACCGGTGCTGCGGGCGTCTGATCGATGCGAGGAAGCAGCGCAAGCCACGACCGATGGGGTGGTGACCGGTCCGGCAGCACTTAGAGGACCGGCCATCGGCACGTCCAAACCTTGTCCAAATGCAGGAATAGGAGAGTGATTCAAATTGAGGCGGGGCCTTGTTCCTGAGAACAGTGGTGTGGGACCAGTCTCCGATGCATTAGCACCGCTTCTCGGGGTTGCGGCAACTGATTTGCTAGCAGAAAAGTCAAAGGCCTTGGGCAAGCTGGGCAGCCCGAGGGAGATGTTAAATGCTGGGAGAAGCTTGGACCAGGTGCTCGGGACCTGGTCTTCATCCCCAAATTCAGCGACGGGGGCTGGTGTCATGGGCTCGTCTTGACACGGCTGGACAGCCTTCACGCTGGCCGGTGCAACGTCAGCGCTGGAGACCTTGCTGTGTTTAGCGACGCTGCTGGGCGCCTCTGGAAGTGTGGCGTTCTCCTCGCGAGCGTCCTGGACCAAGTCAGCCTCGGCAGCATGACGCTTTCCGCGCCGCCGGTGCCGAGAGAGCAGTCTGCTAGCGGTGGGACCATCCTCAGCGTCAGGCTGATTTGAGGTCTGTTTCGACGCCAGGGCGTCACGCACCATGCCAACGGCACGCTCCCCGAAATAATATCGGTTCCCGCTATCGCGCAGCGCTTTCACACTGGATTTTGCGCTGACAAAGAAGCCGTCGGCCAGAAGCTTGGTGCAGATCTTGAGCGCGCCCTCGCGTGTGGCGTCGCGGAACCGGGCTTCCTCTTGCTCATGGCACAGGGTTAAGCAGGTGGAGATGATGTCCTTACCCGTGAGGTAGGCCTTGCGGCACCGATCTACGGAGGTGTTGGCGCGCTTGCGTTGCAGCATGCGTGCCTGTAGCTGCTCCCAGAAGACGAGACCCTTAAACTGCGTCCGATCATAGGTTGTTGGCCCCGTGTGAACATTTCCAGCCTGACTGGTCGGGATGTTCTCGTTTGTGGCAACAACTGATGGGGCGGCAGCTGGCTTCTGCTTGGCTCCAGCAGAAGGATTGTGTGTGCCAAAAGTATTGCTCCAAAAGCTTGATACCATGCTACTCAGACTGGAGGCTGCCATCTTGCTCCGTGTCCTTCCGTGCCACCTGCACGGCAAACACCCAAAGCGTTTGAGACGAGAAATACACGATCCCTCTTGACACAAAGTTGATGATTTTGAATTTCCCCGGGAAATTCATAAAAGTCCAACAAAATTTACACTTTGAACCAGACTGACTCTTTCATGCACCACATGGCACAAGAGGAGGAGACAGGGAGGGAGAGAGAGACAGAGACAGAGAGAGAGACATAGAGAGAGACAGAGACAGAGAGACAGAGACAGAGAGAGAGACACACACACACACACACACACACACACACACACACACACACACACACACACACACACACACACACACACACACACACACACACACACACACACACACACACACACACAGACGCACACAGAAGAGAGAGTCACAGAGAGAGTCAGAGAGAGAGAGAGAGAGAGAGAGCAGACAGTCAGTCACACGCGCTGCGCTCGAGAGACAAGAGAGCGAGGCCGGGAGCGGTACTCGCACGCACACACACACACACACACACACACACACACACGAGGCGAGATGGCGACGGCCATGGAGACGAGCAGTCATGATGTGGAGCTGCTGCCTTTGGGTGGTGGGCGCATTGGTACCGTTGCGCCCCTGTTTACACCCGACAGCAAGTGAGTGGTCTGCCCTTTATGCATGCACGTTGCAGCGTACACGTGGACTTGGCGTCTATGTGTGCGTGTGTGTTTGTGCGGTCACACCAATGCTTGTTCGTTCACCCGGCACCCCGTTTGCCTTTGCTCGCTGCTGCTCCTCAACTCCCAAAGGTTTGTGATCACGGCCGTGGGGCAGTTCATCAAGGTGTACAACCTGCGCAGCCAGCGCTGTGTCCGCCTGCTTGAAGGGCACCAACAGCCTGTCACAGACCTAGCCATCAACCCGCTGAACCAGCTGCAGGTTCGAATTGGCCCTGTCGCCAGGTGGCCATTGTTCTGGCGAATGGCGCATCGCGGTGCTCATCGCTGTTGTTTCGTTACCCTCACATAGCTCATCTCTACCAGTAAAGATGGCTCGATTCGGGTCTGGGACTATCAGGATGCTGTCTGCCTCAAGACGGCTCAGGGCCAGACCGCTATCACTCAGCTGCTAGGGTTTGCCGACGAAAACACCATTCTAGTTGCCCTGAAACAGCGTATGTCGCGTCCTGCGTGACTCTTCCTCATTCACTCCCTTGCCGCCAAGCTTGCTGCTTTTTCCATTGAGACCCCTCAAAACGTCTGACTTGCGACCTGACGTGCGTTTTTGCCTGCTCACCTGCGCCCGGCCTTACAGAGACGGCGCTCGTGGTCAAGCAAGTGTCCATGTCGGCTCTGCAAGATACCGACATTGATGGTACGTTGCCAATCGGTCTTGCCTGTGTGCCTGGCTCTGGCGTACCGTGTTGATCCATCGCTCCGGATATGCTGCCCGGGGCCCCACGAGCTCACTTGTGGATGTTTCTCTGTGCGCCCTGGCAACGCAGCGCTGGAGCCATGCTGGTCCTGCGAGCAGGCCCGCACCATCGCCTGGCACGCCAACGCCAACTGCCTCATTGCGGTTCGCGACAAGCAGATTGTGGTCACCCATTTGACGGCCAAGTGGACGACCGAGCTACCGTGCGAGCAGCAGATGACCACGCTTGCTTGCCATCCGCTCAAGCCTGTCTTCGCTTCTGGCGATGTTCGTGGTGCTGTCACCATCTGGTACGCCACTCTCCTCGCCAGTTTATGGTTGTGTTACCGGCTGACCCCCTGCACCTGTGGCTCTTACCCTTTGCTGCGTGCTTAAACTCATCCGCCGTGCCTGCTTCAAATCTCATCTCTCAGGCTGGACGCGCTGAGTCCGGTCAATGCTGGTAACCGTTTGACTACCACATTGCATTGGCACTCGCACGAGGTTACAACTCTGGCCTACAATCGCCAAGGCGATTACCTTCTCTCGGGTGGCCATGAGTCTGTCTTGGTCATCTGGCAAACCTCCACACGCACGCCCCGCTTTTTGCCCCGCCTTGGTACGTGCATGGCTCAGCTGTGGGCCTGAGACTAGATCAAAGGGAATGCAAAACGCAGCACGCAATGAGCTGATACTCATCTTGAATCGGAAAACGCTTTGTCACCTCAGGTGGAACACTTCTCAAGCTGGCTGTGTCACGCAACGACACCCTGTACGGTGTGTCCGACGATAACAACAACATCAAGATTCTCGACGCCAGTACCCTGGACCCCGTTTGCGTCATCCGCGGCCTACAATCCGGTTCGTAAACAGACAAACGGTTTTGGCCAATGCGACCTGTCCTGTTTTGCTTGCCGACCAAGCACCAGTCGGCAACAAGTGTGTGATGTGACGTGCCCCTGCCCTTACTCATCCTGAGACTGCGGCATGGCTCGATTCTACAGAGGGTGCCCAGGCCCACCGTCGCCTGTATCCTGGTGGCCTGCAGTTGGACCCGCGCTCACAGCAGGTCGTGCTCAATGGCAACAGCACGCACCTGCAGTTTTACGACCCCAAAAGTGATGAGTTCATCTCCTCAGTGCCTGTAGGTCTTTGCCTCAATGTAACAGCACCCCCGCCCCTCTCCTCAGCACTGCATGCGGAAACTTATGCACCTGTCCGTGCATTGACTCCTAGATCATCCAACGCAATCGCGTGCGTCGCTTCCGAGGCCGTCTAGGCCAGCACTCTTCTGTACAATTGCCTCAAGGCAGCTATGTGTCCCTGTTTGCCTTTGCCCATGTACGTGCCGGCGCTTTGGTGCAGCTGCTCTTGTTCTACTGAAGGTGTCTGCTTTTGCAGCCCAGCGCCACATGAACTTACAACTCCACAATGGTCGCGCATAGGATGGCCTCACCATGGTCACGGTTGAGGAGCGCCGGGACGTGCGCTTTGGCAACGATGTCCGCCTCAAGTTTTGGCAGTATCGACCTGATCTCAAATCTTTTATGATGACCACGCTCGTTGACCCACCTCACAGCCAACACGTAAACGCCATCGCGTCCGATCCCTCTCAAGCGCGCTTTGCCACTGCTTCGGATGACGGTACCTTGAAGCTGTGGTCTCTTGGTACGTTGCTCTGCGGCTTTGGGCTGGGCTCATGTTGGCGTTGTACTTTGCAAGGCCGATCATGTTGTGCACATGCTCCTCTTTTTTTTTTTTTCTTTTTTTTTTTTTCCACCTCCCCTCGTCATCTAAGCTATATCGGTTTTTTTTTTTTCACTTTCATTTTTTTGTGTTGTTTTCAGATGCGACTGAAGATGCGCACCGTTGGGCTTGCCAGGCGTGCTTGTCATACAAGGACTTGCCGTTTACTGCTTGTGCTTTCTCATCTGATGGCTCTATCCTGGCGGCCGGCACCTCATCTGGTACCATCGTGCTCTTTGATACGTTCTCACTGGCCGTGCTGCGCGTGGTTCTTGTTACCAACAAGCAGGTCAGTGCTACATATCACGTGAGGCTTCTGCTTGAGTCAGACGCAGTCTATCATGCCATCAACTCCACCGCTTACGCCTGATTCTTTGACCTGCTCCCTTGCATGATGGCCTCTGCTTTTGCAGCCGATCAAAACCGTGGGGTTTCTCAGTGGCACTTCTTCCTTTGTCGGCTCCACGGGTCGGCGGGTCGTGGTGGTGGATCTGCTCACTGGCGAGACAACGGCTGCGTTTGACGGCGAAGTGACTTTTCTGGCCGTGCATCCGACCGCTGCCAAGTGGGTTGTTCTCTCTGCACCCGGGAAGAGCAAGAACAAAAATAAGAATAAGAACAAGAAGAACAAGAATGGTCAACCAGGGCAAAATGGCACCATGGATGTCGACGTTGAGGCGCCAACCAAGCGCGTTGCCATGCTTCGGGCCTTTGACTTGGCCGATCTTGAGCACCCGATGTGCTTGCAGCTGGCAGATCTCAACCCGATTGCTCTTGGCTACCTGCCCGGCGACGACGCGGAAGACTGCCGCCCGCTTGTGCTCGACTCGGAACTGCATTTGCATGTAGTTGTCCCCACGGCCGCTGGTCCTGCTGCCACGCGTGGCGTCGCCATGGTGTGTCGATGCTGCTCGTTGTTATTTTCTTCTGTTTTTTTTTTTGTGTTTGTCATGTTTGTGTTTGTGTGCTCTATTGCTATTGGTTCGATCATGAGTTTGCTGATCAGGGCCTTATGCCTCGGCTCACTTCAATCGCCTCGTGTAGGAATCAGTCATGTATGGCGGCACGACTGACGTTCATCAAGGCTCCTCCCTGCTGTATCGGCGCGTCTTTGGTTTGTCCACGACTACAGACGACGAGGAACGCAAAGCGCGAGTCTTGGTGAACCCAAGCGGTATCACCCAGGGTCCTTGGGCCACCATCATGGATCACCCTGCCCATACGCTTCCAGCCATGGACTTGCTCGTCGATGACTTCTTGACCCGCATGATGACCATGGCTCTCGGTCCACGCCAATCGGTCGGCGCACGTCCTGCAGCGACCGAGGAAAGTTTGGCTGCCAATCCCTCAGTCTCGGAGGCCATGGACGAAGAGGCGGATGACAGTGAAGCCAATCATGGAGGCGACTTCAAGGCCCGTCCTGCCATGACCGATGTGCAGCCTCGCCGGGCTTTTAGCCGGCCCCCGCGCACTGCACAGCTGAGCGCTGATGACTTTGCTTTTCTGAGCTCGGAAGATGCTCCCATGGTCGTGTTGGAGGACTCGACAATCAATCCCATGAATGGCAACAGCCCAGCCACGCCGCAGACGGCGCCCGCCACGACGACGCCCAAGAGCAGCAAGCGCAAGAGCAAGAACAAGTCACCCAAGAACACATCATCTGCAGCTGCTACCCCAGATTCGCGCCGCAGCGCCACGCCCCGCAAACGCCCTGGCTCGGCGCGCAAGTAAAATTCAACTTTGCGCCTGTTCCTGCGAAAGGGGAGCCAATTGACAAATCCGTAAATTCTATTGGCCTCGAGTCACAATCTGGGTTTATCCTTGTTCCTTGGCGGTCGTGCTTCAAAGCCATCAAGAGCCGGAACGAAAGCCGGGACGCATCGCGCGGCACAGAGGATCAAGCCAGTTCAAACGCAACCGCCAGTCCCCATGCAACAAAGCAACGCACACATCACAAAGCAACGCACACACCACAACAGAAGAAAAAAAGTAAAAAGAAAAAAAGCAAAACACAAAACAAGAAATTTCTTCGTCTTGATTTTTTTTTTTCTTTTTGTTTTGAAACACACACGGAGCGGCAGCGTGTTTTGGGGGCATTTTTATGCTCTGAGGATCTCTCGCCGCAGCCAGCCACACCCCATCTCCGCGACCATTCAAAGTGCCCCGGGCCTTTTGATGCTCGGCTCTTGTCAGTGGCGCCTGTTTGTGGTGCAGTAGTTACAATCGATGCACCGCCGCCATGTTTGAAGTTGGCGATGAAGATTATGTACGTGGGTGTTCTGCGTGACGCATGTTCAATCGCACACCTAAAGACTGCTCACGTTCCCGGCTCATCGGTGGTGTAACAGGTTGTTGAGGAGATCGAGCCACCTCAACCGCCATCCTCTGGACGTCTAGCCGCCTCGCAGCTTTCCGGCCCCATGCGTACGGGCCACTGCTTGTTCGCCAGAGGCGCCCAACTTCTTGCGTGCTGCGGCCACGACTGTCACGGCCTCACACACCCCTTTTTTCCCTCCTCTGTTAGCGTTTCTCTCAGGTGATAGCCGGTACCAGAATCAATTTGACTTTTCAGATGGCTTCAGTACGTTTTGGCAACGCTCGTCGACCCGCGCCTCATCAATTGCCCGAGCACACAAGCGCCTTTCACATTGAATGTTGCGCCTGTTGTGCATGCGCAGTGTCCGAAGACATGAACGATTTCCGCGTCAACGAAGAGCCGGTTATGCGCCGTCGCAAGGTATGGGTTGTGCTGAATCTGTCGGCTAGCTCTATTGGCGATTTCAATGAATCAACAACTTTGCAGGATAGTCTCACCCCACTGCCACGCCTCACACCTTTTGGTGATACCTCTGTGCATTTCTTCCAATAGGATCCCAAAATCATCGAGCGCTACATCTTTGGAGAACTGTACGTGCTCCTCTTCAGAATGATGCACGCCTGATTGTTCTTGTTGCAGCTGTGTGTGTTTCATGGCAACTCACGCCAAGCTCCGCTTTGGATCTCATCTTGAACCGCAATAGCTTGGGAGAAGGTTCTTTTGCAAAGGTCAAGGAGGTGCTGGATCTCATCACTCTGCAGCGTTTTGCCGTCAAAATCATCAAGGTACGACTTCTTGAGAAACACAAGACTTGGAACTTAAGCCTCTGCCGCTGCACCGAGAACACCGTTCTCGTGCATTTGCTCATCTTCTGCATGCATGTCCATTTTTTTTTTTTTTTTGTGCAGTTCAAGCGAGTGCGCCGCATTCCCAATGGCCCGGATAACATTCGCAAGGAAATCATGCTTCTCAAAGTAAGGTGCCTGGCTTTGTCTAGCGATATTTTCACCATCCGCGCTAACAAGGTTGCTCGCTCCAATCTGCGCTATTAGCGTTTGCGACATCGAAATGTGATTCGTCTTGTCGACACTCTCTACAACCATAATAAGGAAAAGATCTACATGGTGTGTAGCTGCTTGCTACCAGGGGCTTGCTACCGCCCTGGGTTTTCAGTTCCTACCAGAAAACGAAGTCAACTCATTCTGTGCCTGCCTTTGGGATGCAATTGCCTTTAGTTCATGGAGTACTGTCACGGTACCTTGGAAACTTTGCTCAACAATGCTCCTTTCAAGCGCATTCCAGTGTGGCAGGTAGAGTCTGCTCGCCCCACGTACCGACCATCGTGGCGCTGCCCCAACCCGATCCCACACCCTACCCATGTTGCCTGACGAATCCCTGAATGTCGCCACTGGGCATTGGACTGTGCAGGGTCACCTCTATTTCACGCAACTTGTCGAAGCCATGCGCTACATTCACAGCCAGGTAAATGGGGAAGAGCCCACCGCCTTGGCAGTGCGTCAAACTTGTGTGCCCACAACAAAGATTCCCTGCTGCATGCACTCTAGGGCATTATTCATCGAGATATCAAGCCAGGCAACATGCTCCTTACCGCCGACGACGTCCTCAAGCTTGCGGATTTTGGTGTGGCTGATGTGTTGCAGCGGTGGGTTTGCGCGACTCTACCCCATCACATTTGCCTTCTGCCCAATTTGAACTCCTCATCGATGCCGTTTTCAGTTTTGTGCCCGGAACTCGGGTGGATACATCCAATGGTACTCCATTTTTCCAATGCCCAGAGGTTGCGCGAGGCCAGGAATCGTTTGATGGTGAGCTGAGGCATGCATACCCTCGCATTCCGCTTTGATTGGGTTTGTCGTTTGTATCGAGGCTCTGTCACAGATTTGATGCCCTCTTGCAGGCGTCAAGGCCGATGTATGGGCAGCGGGCGTCACGCTTTGGTCCATGCTCTCGGGCACGTTTCCTTTTGATGGCGGGTCCATCTATGATCTCTATTGTAACATCTCCAAAGGTACAAGATATTTCCTGACCGCTCTGGGCACGATAGAACGAGCATGTGCACATCTTGCTTTTCAATCTTGATCGCGTGCTCACGCGGCTGGGTACGCGGGAGCAGGTGAATACGTCATCCCGGACACTATACCGCCAGACGCAGCCAATCTGTTGGATGCCATGCTTCACACTGACATGGAAACACGGGCCACCGTGGAGGCCGTAGCCTCGCACAGGTACGGTTGATTCAGTCGGAATCTTTGCATCTTGACGCTGTGAACCGGAACAAGCTTGCATGTCGCCATTGTGACAGTAATGTGTCAGTGAGCAGAACAAGTATCAATTTACTCATTCCTTCCATTGCCGGCCACACCATGTAGCTTTACGCGCTCGCTGCCGATTCGTGAAGAATTTCGTGTCGGGCTTCCTGTGTCACACTCAAACCCTCTGCACTGTACGTAGTTGATAACATGTGCATGAAATTGCGTGTTGGCTGTAGCGCCATCTCACCAATCTGGAAATCGATGATGGCTCTGCCTTTTATAGCTAGCTCGCTGGTACCAATTCTCGATGAGCTCTATGCTGGCTATGATCTCTGCAGTGATGAGCAATCAGTCGACGAAGAACTCGGTATGCGTTCCTCAACAAGTCTTGGGACACCTTTGCCGTTTTCGTTGCTTGTGGACAGGAGACAGGCAGGCAGAAAGGGCTCGTGTTTGACATGCTACCCTTCCGTACCTGCCTTCATGGCTCTCAAACTCTGACTTGTACTGGCTTGCCGTGCTTCGCGTAGCTGAAAGTCTGAATGATTCGAGTCACAACCACGATAATACTATGGTGGATATTCACGCATTGCCAGTCAAGCGCCCCAGGTGGGACTGGGCCGTCCCAATGATTAGCAGCGACCTCCTTGTCTGAGTGCTTGTCGTCATGGTTGAACTCATGGGGAATACAATCGTGACCTGGGATGTTACTGCAGCCTGCTATCTGGTCGTCAAGACACCCGCTCCGTGTCAGCTCCCACGTCGCCCGGTAGGTATCGCAACAAGAAACGGTATTCTCCTCAGTCAAGTGCCGCTCATCCGCCTTGTGCTCACAAAAATCTATGGCTCGTTTAGGTCGGGCAAGCCGAACGCATCAGCGCAGCAGTAGCCATGGTGGCTTTCGTCGCTTGCTGTCCGGACAGCCATCACCCGGCCTCGAGCCAGCGACGGGTCTGCCTGACCCGGCAGAATTTGCTCTAAACATGCAAAGGAAAACACAGAGCACACCCGATGTGTTCACTCGAGGTTTGTCGTTCGACCAGACTTGATTGGCGTGCACAGACGTTTGGCTCTGATTCACCTCCGTTTTCTGCCAACCAAACGACTTTGTACTTGGCACAGCCCGACCACACTCGGCTCAGCGCTCGCGCCGTGCATCACTCGGCCCCATTTCGGAGCCCTCTCCCAGTGACCTGCGCGCCATGTTCGAGCGTCAGCAAGCCTTTGAGCGTCATTCGACGGATGAGGCGATGATTTCCACGTCAGCACCAGAGCAGTGAAGATCTGGATTTACATTCTATTGGTATTTACATACGGATGTTAGATTGTTAAATTGTGTCACAAATCTACTCGAGTTGGATGTGGCGCCGTGCGCCCATCTTTCGTAGGTTTCTTTTTACTCGGCTTGTGAGGCAGAGCAATCAATTACAGCACAATACAGAAAAAAATGGCTTTTAGGGTTTCTCCTCTCTGTCGTTTATTTTTTGACTTGCTGGCGCTCGTAGTGAGGGAGCAAAAATTAGGGACAAGCGCACGCGTTTGCGTGCTCGGATGTTCGTCATATAGTCATGGCTTTTGCCACCAAAAAGACGTGCCGGGAACAAGGAAAGACAATAATAAAGAACTAAGAGACGCGAGGCGAGAGTCGAGATGGACCATGCAAGGGACGAGCACGTCAAGGAAGGGAGGTAAGCGCAACTCTGACAACGGCTCTATGCGCTGGGTTGTCGCGACCGCGCTTGGTCCAAAAAGTCCTGCAGCCGATCAAGATAACCGTTGTATAGCTCCACGTCATTGTGACCAGCGCCATGCACCCAGAACGGATCCGTGGAGCCTGGACAAGCCTCGTGCAGTGACACGCCATGCGAAAAAGCAATAACCTCGTCCTACGTCATCACGAACCACGTGTGAAACGGTCGGGTCACCATCATGAAGCAAGAAGCACACCAAAGAGTACAGCCTCGCGGAGGTGGAGACAAAAGTAGCAAGTCACAACTGCCGCCGAGCAACCCACCTCTGTGCCGTGAATTATTAGGGTGGGCATGTGAACGTCGGAGATCTTGGCGATGCTCGGGAAAGGGTCGCAACAGTAGGTGCGGGTCAGGCCCGGCTTGAGCACGCGAAGCCCTACAACAAAGTGGGAAAGGCATGGTGAAGAGGATAGGTGAGTGCCGCACTGATCAGCAAGTACAGGTTGGCCGTTGGTGCCTTAAGCTGACGAGGAGGAGCGGTCGAGGGAGGGGTAGTTGTCTGACCTGAGGCGAGCGGGGAATGCAGCACCACGCCAGCAATTTCAGGATGTTTTGAGGCCAGGTCAACGGTGGGAACGGTACCAATGCTTTGGCCATAAAGTATGAGATTGGCAGGATCAATGCCAAAGCGCTCGCGAAGAGCACGATACACAGCCTCAATGTCAGTGTAGAGGTTGTTTTCACGACGCCACCCCGAGCTGAGGCCATAGCCACTGTAGTCGTAAGCAAAGACGTTGCAGTGCAGTTGTGTGGCCAGTGAGGTGAGGAAGACGGACATGAGACCAATGTCAACGGCGTTGCCATGACTGAAAAGAATAGTTTGCGTGGCCCCATCCACTTCGAGATAGTAACCGACAAGGGTGTTGCCTCGGCGAGTGCGTATGTCTCGGAGCACGTGAACCTGGCAATGTGGCTCGAATCGCCGCAACGTCTTATCCCGAGGATTGAACGGGTCGGAAATGAAGAAAGACAGCACATGATCCTCTTCGCGAATGTCATAGGAGCACAGTGGGGGCTGAAAGGCCATTTTTGCTAGGGTTGTGGATGGCCGAGAGACGAACAAACGACATGAGAAACAGAGAAAGAGCCACCCACGAAAACCTTCCATCGCCCGTCGGCAGGTTGCGCCGATCAACATGAGGACTGACCGGTAATGGCACCCGGGCAAGGCGGACAGCACAGGAACTTGCAGATTTCTTTGCAGCAGCAAAGGTAAGACAGACAGCACCCCCGTCGCCCGGCCTCGGGGCTCTCCTCCGCCTGGTCCTCCATGTCGGTCGACGGGCTCAAATGTAGCGGCCCCCACAGACCAATCAGTCCACAGTCCACAGGCCAATCAAGCCAACGTATCCAAAGCTTGAAGCACCACCACCCTAGCCAAATAAGTCGAAATGCTTTGAATGCTGGCACGACACCCGGATATCTTTGCCGGCTGCCGTTGTTGTTACTGGTAGTTGCTGAAATACACACGCACACACACACACACTCACTTACTTACTCTTTACTGTTAGTGTTTTCTGACAATCTGCTTTTGTCAAGATTCGCGTT